TTATGCAACCAGGCAGTCCGTCCAGTCGGTCTTGAGCCAATGCCATTCGGCATTGTTGCATTCACAAATGCATCGTGAACATTGAGGGATCATTCGGGAGGTGTCATTTAACAGAGAGCGAGAGAGCAAAAGAGGGAGGGAGGGATGGAGGGAGGGAGGGAGGGAGGGAGGGAGGGGGAGAAAGAACAACAAGAGAATGCACACATGACACCACAAGCTTAGATGACAGCTGCTGGAACATGAACCCAACAGGCACGAGACGGCAGCCCTAAAGCCCACAAGCACAAACCCCAAAGTCTAGAACCCTCGTCAAACCTCAACACATATCGCAAACCCCAAACCCCAAGCCCTACACCCCAAAAGCCCTACCTTCACGAAACCCGCATGGGAACCTCTCTGGAGTGACCACTGGCTGCTCCGGCTGGATGGGGGCCTGACAGCCGTCCAGAAGGAGCTGTCAGAAAGGGTCTAAGGTTTAGGGTTTAGGGTTTCGGCGCTCGCACTCGGTTTAGGGGCCCATATCTTGAGAACATACGACAAAAATCGGAGGTCTTAGTCATAGGGCTTTATAGGGTTTTAATATAGGTGCCTTCAGAATTAGAATCCCGGTTTGGGGCTTAGGGTGCCTGGACTACGTTCCTGCTTTGTTTAAAACCTCCCAACTAAGACCAACTAAGAGGCTGGGATCCCTAAACCCTAAACCCTAAACCATTGGTTCAAAGACTTGGGGATGATTCGGAACCATCCCCAATACAAAGCTTCGGCCGACATACGAGCCTGTTACCCTGTGCTTCCAGGGACCTTACTACTGGATCCTTAAAGGTGTCTGGGGCCCTACTTGGAGGGTCGGGGGACTGAGTAAGTAGTTATTTTATAGAGTTATAAGTATCATAACCCCAATTAGGATCCCTTTTAGGGTACTTATAAGTCTACTTCTAAGGCCCCCGACCCTCCAGGTAACTATAAGGTCCTTGGGAGCATTGGGTTATTCTCATGGCCTCTTGGAGTTTATGCCATGCCGTAACTTCCTGTCTTTTGGGCCCGAGGCCTTGCTAGCGGGGCTTGGCTAAGACAACATCCGCATTGCGGGACAATCCAATGTCTGGGTTAGAGGAAGACATGTGGTTTAGGAAGACTTAGGGTTTCACTGTAGTCCACTGTAGTTCGTGTTATTGGATATCCCATTTGATGGCTAGAGCCCTATAATATGAAATTTGCTGACCAAGAAAGGATCTGCTATAGGGGCCTGAATAATTACCTATACTTTTTTTTTTGGTAGGGGGGGGGGTCCTTATCATAATTAAAGTGGAATGGGCCCCAAAACCCTATTCTAATTATTAGGGCACCGGCCCTACATTACAATCCCTGTAAACCCTAAACCCTAGACGTTAATACCCAGGTAACTAGAATAGGGTCTTGGGATCCATTATACTATAAGTATAATAAGGAACCCCCAAAATAGTATTGGTAATTATGTAGGCCCCTATGTTACAATGGAGACTGCAAGTGTGTCTTAATGGATCCCCAAAACCTTATTCTAGAAAAAAAGGTCACTATAGTAAGCCCTACATTCCCTCACCTGTGTAGGCTGCTCGATGACCTTGGGCGCGGACCTTCGCCGTTGCTAGCTGCTAGCTGTGGACTTGGGTACATCCCTCAACCTTGTAGATTGTAGGGGCAGAGACTCTAAGCCAGCCCTCCGCTACATCCTTAAACCTGAAGCCCCAATCCCGGAATACCAATACCCGCCTTCATAGGGTTTGGGTTAATGCTCTCTGGAAAACTTCTTCAGGCTAAGAGTTTCAATGGACTACAAGACTGCAGCTCTTCGCCCAAGTTGAAAGATCCCCGCATCAGCAGCTTTGCCATGACAGTCTGGCTGTGAGTTCCGCATTCTCGCCATCACCACGACCATCAGATCCGCCATTCTCATGATTACCGGCGTGATCGTGGTGGCCTGTTCGTCGTGATCGTCAGCATCACCACCACCACCAGCATCATCATCGTCATCCTCACGCCCGGCGGCATCAACATATTCATCTTAGTCATCTCTTCTGGTCTGGGTACAACGATGTGGGCGACACAGGCAGAAGAAGGGCACTGAGCAGGCTCAAACACACGCGAAACGGCCGAGGTCGCACTGATGACGATGACGATGACGATGA